AGTTATTTGTGTGAAGTCTCTGATTTAACACAATGTGAGATATGGCCTCTTAATGCTGCACCACAGCCACACACATGCACGAATAGATGGAAGCTTGGCTGTGACAGTGCAGTTTAGTATCAAAGACTTGACTGTAGCGCCCTCAAGTGGCGCCTGGTGAAACGACATCTCATGGTATCATTGATTTTCTTCTTTTTATTTTTTCTTCTCTTCTTTGCTTTTCAAACTATACATCAGTGCTGCATTTTGTAATCAAACCACACATTGCTTTCTTTTTGTGTTTTGCAAAAGCGGCGTCTGCTGGCGTAAGCCGTCACATCGGAAACTCGTCTGAGTTGCTATTTCAGCTTTGCTTTATTCCACAGTTGCAATTTGAAACAATGCAATTAGCAAATCACAAAAGCTGCAATTTCTCAGAATATTTGAGCTGTGGCGGTTAAATGTTGGTACCAAGACTGTAATTCAATTCTATTTAATCCAATAAGACTGAAACTGTCATTCACTGCGTGTGTGCACCTTTTAATCAATATATACAGCTTAGCTCAGGTGTGCACGCTGTTGTTCCACTGGGATGAGCCCAGTTTCATCAGGAGTGTTTCTAAGTCTGGATTTAAACTGTTGCACCAGTGCTTTTACAAATCCAATGCTGTCTTTGTTCTTGTGCGACAACATGCGTTTGATGATTTATGATGTGTAAATTCTCTTCTTCTCCATGAGTCTATAACACGCCTTTAAACTTGTAATTCTTCTTCAGCTGGCCTGAACGCTCTCAGAGTCGGCCACTTGTTCTGATAATATTCTGCCCTTTTCTTGCTCGTGTGTCTTTGACAGGGCGAGTGCTACAGTGGCTCCGTGTGCTGCTGTGCCAGATGGTGGCAGTCTATGAATAATACATCATTACCTTCAGCCCGACAGGTCCAAGCTGATCCGAGGTCAGCTGAATGACACAGGTGTGCTTCACGCTGGGCGACTCGGGTCGGCCACCCAGGGGTGAGCCGGGAAGACTCGGTAATACTGATATGCAGGCGTCATTTCTGCCTCCCGTGGGTCCCGCAGAGATTAGGCGGGGCTGACGGGCTGGTTCATGCTGGCCAGACAAACAAGAGCTTTTGCAGTTGCAGGTTAAACAGGATTCTACTGCACACTGGAGAAAACATCAATATCAGGCTTTTCTTTCTGCATTCAGCGCCAATATTAGTACATAAACATTACAGAAAACACAAAAAAGACGCATTTTGTATTAAGGCAGTCTGAGGAAAGATGGCTGTAATAATGAGGCTCACCAGTAAGGCCTTGGCCCAGAACTGAATGTAATCTTTCTTTATCTCTGACTTTATTAAGTCAATATGAGCACGGTGTGCTTTTGTGTGCTTTCGATAAGTGAGCTGTTAAATAGGTTCCATGCTTGCAAACTTCAGCACAACCATTTTTTATACTGTGGTTGTCTTCAGGCTTGAATCCTGTTCTCCATCTGAGCTGTTGCATATTTTTCAAGTGAATAAAAACATTTTATTTTGACAAATAAATGTCATTTAACATCTCGTGTTCGAGACTTTGTGACCAGAGGGATACCACAGTTTTTGCATGTGGGTCACTTACTGGTTCATATTCTGCTGATAGTGAAACTAAGTTGGTTAAAGGATTATTTTTATTGCGTGTCTGCTTACGTGTCTGCTTGATGTTCGATACCACCGATTTCCTTTCGGTCCGATACTGAGTAAAATGCAGGCTGGTATCAGCGATACCGATACTTTGTGCAAGTATGTGAGTGGTAAATCTAATAAAATGTAGTGCATTTCCAATCATAGCTTCATAGTTATACAAGACATCAGAGTAACTTATTTACTGATTTATTTTAACCTCAGAAGTATGTTGAGGTCGTGGCCTCATCATAAATGCCACAATAATTGCACAAGTTTGTCAATACCGACATTTGAAAATATTAATTTAACAGTTAAAGCACATTAGACTGATTGTAAATCATAATAGATATGTTTTATAGGTAAAAAGTTTTTTTTTAATCCATCTTTTCTAGTATATATTTTTCTAAGTTCACCGTGGCTGTTGCTCTGTATAAGTTAATGACACCTAGTCTATGTAATCCACTTTAAATGATCAGTTCTTTAGGAAACCTTACCTGAATCAATCTAGACTTTTTTTTGCTGATATGAGATTAGCTCAGTGATATTATTCCTCCAAGCTGCTATTTGTAGAAGCATGTATTTATTCCATAAGCCCTGACCCTGTGCTCTAAATGTCATGTATTCTGTGTAGCGGTTTAACTGGAGGTGTTTCACGAGGTTTGTTATGTTGCCAAAACTCCTTCCCGTTGTCCCACAAACATCACAAACCGCGCCTTGGCTGTTTGTTCACGCTCTGCCATTGTGTCAACAGACCGACTTACACATTACGCACTTTCCCAGGCGGAAGTAAAAGTAGTTCTCCACTGTGCTCCTGGTAATCATATACATGCTCTCAAATGACTGAAGTGTCAAAAGTATCGATATTTTCATTTGAGAATCGATTTCAGAGCATAAAGATCTGGTATCGGAAGCATCACGTCACTACTGCTTACTTCTTTTACTTTCTAAACTCACAAGATGTGTCCAAACCTTTTTGTTTTTCTTAGAAACATATCCACCAAACTTTCTGCAAATTGCTGTCAGAAGCACAAAATGTTGCATCGCTGCAGTTTTGTGTCCAGTTTAGTTGACTATCAAGAGAGGCGGCTGAAACAAAAGAGTTCAGCCACGGCTCATTTGATTTATGTTGCGTGTACTAAACAAGACCTGATGCCGGGTTGTTTATACTCATAATGGGACGCATAGCTGGAATACTGGTCCGTGAGATGACACTTTTAGACCTGAAAACATTGCTGGGATGGATATATATATGTGAGCAGCAGTGAACAATGCATTTTAAGTAATAATAAGGTGTGCAGGACATTCTTTTTATACAGATTGTAAAACTACAGGCTGCTGAACTCTCAGTCACTAGTTAGACATCAGGTGCAGTAGCTATTTGTGTAGCTCTCCAGTCCCTCTTCTCATACTCTGGGCCTTTATGCAGGCATAAACTACATATTACATGAACTGACAATTTTCAGAAGAGTTATTTCATTTTATCTGAACAAAACCTTTGTGCAGCCCTTTTAGTGAATGTGGCAAAAAAAGGTTGTTTTGCACAAAAGATGAGCTGAAATCCTTTAGTAAATTGTGTGTTTTTGCTGCAAGTGTGTGCTATTTTGCATTCAGAGCACCAAGAAATTTGCATTTGACTGATATTTTGGTATCACTTTAACAATTCCTGATACTTCTGTGTCTTTATTTTACGTGAAACCCTTGAAAGTTTGGCTTTATTTGTAGCTTTTCCAAAGCAGATGATCTCAATTTCCCTTCCTCTATTGTCTATTTCTTTTCTTTTTAAAAAAAAATCAAATGTAAAGCAGTTAATGGAACTGACTCAACTCTCAAACTTGCGTAAGATAATTTCATGGGCTGTAAATTCACCTGATCAGTCATCAATCTGCAGGAACGTCATCAGCAGATATTTCAGTGTTCTCTCTCATACTGGGATAGAAATGAAGAGCTGCTCCAGTTTTACAACTTATTGCTTTGATGATTTCTTTCATTTTGTGGCGTTTCTCTGTGCCACTGTGGTGCTATGTATTTTTATTTATTTTTTTTGTAATCTCTGTTTGCTGACGTCTTTATGAATTTGCCACCAAAAGTCTACAACTGCTAGCTGCCTGTGTTTTTGACGTACAAAACTGACACATACAAACCAAAATGACATAGCGCAAGTGTTTATTGTTAGAACAGAGTACACCGGTGGATTTAAATGTTAAGACCAGTCACCGTAAAGCAAATAACATTCTTTATCTTACAACAGCGGTGCACGTCACAGGACGTGATATATCAGACATTCAGTCAACCGTTGGTTCTTGCGGTCACAGACCTGGATCAAAGGGAAATGGCCACGTTTCCTGACAAATTGTTTTGGTCAGAGCGTCTCTGAAACACTAAGACTTGTAGGATGCTTCTGGTCTAACCATGACTCAGCATCAGTGTCTTGGAACAAGTCTGAAACACAGTAAGGATCTGCTCCTTCCGTCCTGGTAGCAGATCCCAGAGGGCACTTTGTGAGCTCTTTTAGAGGCAATACTGCTGTTTCGGCGGCATACAAGAGACCCACAGCACGGCTGGCAGGAGTGTCCGCGATGTTTTACCTGATCAGTGTTTCAGCGAGAGTGTTTGGGGTTAAAAATCATACATTCTTCAGTTGTCTTTGGTTAAAAAATTAACAAGCTCTCTCACTAAAGTGCACATTTCTGAAGCTCAGTGTATCACATTAAGGCATCAGGATCACAGGATACTGTGGAATGAGGAAGAAGATATATATCACATTGAGGAAACAAATCTCCATTACAGTGTGTGACATAATGTCTTTAGCCCAAGGTCCCTGTCTCCATCAGTTCTTTGGTATTACCTTCATTTTATTTCCTCAAATGAGCTTTTGAAGATCGGTGTGTTTATTATCCACGTTTGGTAGGATTGCTGATCACAGTGGTCAAATATTTAATGTGGAGATATCTTCTGAAACTTCCACAAAAGTGCTCGACAAGTCTGGCCCACAATTAAATCTGATAATTCAGCGCTGATTTGCGGACTGCAGAAGATCTTCAGTGCACAGTAAACTCCTCTTTGTGAATTTCAGTGCAAGTTCCAGTCTGCAGTCTGCTATTAACTCTGTGAGACTGTTTATAGATTAGCCACAGCAGAGTTAAGTATTAATGCCACCATAGTAAAATGACCACAAGTTACTTTGACATGGCAGCAAAGTACAGATGAGGCTGGTGGGAATGGCATTAGTTATGGGGGTATTTGGTAGCTGCAGGTGGGGAAAAAAAACACCCAGAAAAAGTGAAGTTTCTGGATTTTACGTGTTAAATATGCACAGAATTCAGGAGCTTCCATGTTTTTGCTTTTTGTTTTTTTGCCAAATAAATTGGAGATTTTAAGTTTATCTTGGATGTACTCAGCAGTTCTCTTGATAAATACAGTTGGCAAAATATACAAATAAAAAAAAATACTTACAGTATTTTTTTGGTTCAACACATCAGTTTTGTAAAACTCAAACAGAGGTATATTTGTGTGTCACTTCATTGACTTTACACCCAGGCTTTTGGCTGCACTTGGATTTATCTCTAACCTGGTTGCAAAAAATATTTCAAGAAAAATATGAATACATGCATAATATTGGAGTGTAGTTATGTACAGTGACAAAAACTCTTCTAGAACATGCTTATACAAAAGGTCAAAGGCAGGCAAAGACTTCATAGATTTACCTGTGGTAAAAAGTTAGAAAGAAGTGTTATTCCACTGACTGACTTTGTCGAGCTAAGTGCCAATCCAAAGCTTGTAGTAAACGATTGTGCACTTCTCTCGCAGAGCTTTCCCCCTTCTGATTGTCATTCTACTAGGTACGAAGTTTCTCGTAGTGTTTTGGCGCCCATTTGAGGCGGATGATGCGTATGTCCGGCTCGTGACCGATGCTCAGGTCCCAGCAGTACTCCGGGGAAAGCAGCCTGCTCGGTTTATGAATCAAGAAGTATTTATTTAGATGACTCTCATCGTGCCACAGGGCCTCCACATTGCTCTGTTTATCCAACATGATGTTCAGGTAGCAGGCATCTGCCAAATGCTTCACATTTGCCCACGTGCCTCCAAAGATGGCAGCGTGGTAGTAGAAATCCCCGGTCGCGATGAAGGCTTTGGATTTGGGGTTTCTGTCATAAGTGAACTTACGCTCTTGACTTTTGTAAAAGTGGGCGTGAAGCAAAGCCACGGAATCCCCCAGAGCCTCGGAGCCGAACCTGCCCTTAAACTCCTGATCCACGTCAAAGCAGAAGACGTATCTGAAGTGGTGACGGAGCTCCGACTCGATCGTGTCCGATATCGTCTTCATTCGCATCATAGAGACGTCCTGCCACCGGCTGTGCTTCACCACCGGAACAACTTTGAGGTGTCGCTGAGGAGCAAGCGAGATGTTCGGCACCCTGTCTGGTAAATCCGTAAACACGTAATATGTCACCGGTAATCCCAACATGAAATGTTGTTCTGCTGAAGTGAGGAAAGTCGTGAGATACGCATCCAGGTACCTTAAGTTGAAACACAGAGAGAAACGGTGGATATGATTAGTTTGGTATTTAAGTTTCTGTTGAGTGTTAGTGACATTTAAAACAAGCACAAGACAACAAGCACAAAGAATAGCACAAGAACCAAAACCTTGGCACTGACTAAACAAAAACACAGCATCATGTTCATGGTGCTCGTAATATCAGTGAAACAAAATTCCTTGAAGGAGACACGAAGTAACCTTTAATTTTGATTTAAATGACATTTGGGTTTGTCTCGAATGGCATCTTTCATGAAAAACAAACCGTTTCCAGACAAATAAATGCTGTCGGGTAAAAAAAAAAAAGTAGATAAATCCCTTTTCAATGTATTCAAACACGCAAACATTTGATCCTCTGAACAATTTACATTTTGTTGTCATTTTTACAACCAGCTATTAAATTAGAACCTGGGTTTAGATGACACTGCTAATGATTCAGAACTCCTTAGGGGGTCACAGATGGAACCTGTTTAACTCGACACCCTGATTGCTGCAGTCTGGTGTTGCCTTTGCTTTGTGTTGGGTGTCATCATGCCAAAATCTTAAGAGATCTGAAAAAATAAATCTGAAAAGATTGTAGAAGCCCATTACTCTAGAAAGGGATTTAAAAAGTTTAACAATAATCAGACTCATTCTACTGTTTGGAAGATCATCAACAAGTGGCGTAGATTGGTCCAGGACTGGTCGTCCTACAAAGTTCAGCCCAAGAACCAACCACTGGGTGCAAAAAATAAGAAACCCAACGTTTTATCACAGACTCTGAAGGTAACTCTTGTAACCGTTTTTGTTAAAGTTTACATGTTTGCATGTCTATAATCGGAAAGAGATTGCACAAATTTAACCTGCACGCAAAGTGTGGAATTTATCAGCTTGGCTTTAGGAATGTGTGTAAATATACGCACAACTCTGACCATGCATACGCACATAATCTAGCGGTAGAACAGTGAAACTACAAATAGAAAGCATTCGGGGATTTTGACCTCCGGCACATTCCAGCGTGAGGTTGGAGACATATGCAGCATTTCCAGCCACCACTGAGCAGGATCAAGCCGGCAGTGCTGGATGCCATAACTTCCCTGGCCCCAGCCCACATCCAGCTCCCTTACAGCCATCCCTGATGAGCCCAAATCAAACGGGGACTTAACGCCGTCACTGGATTCCCAAACATAAGTGGAGCCATAGACTGCACCCACATCGCATTCAAAGCAGCATCACTAAACAAATTTCTTTCATTCATTCATTCATTCAATCAACGTAAAAATAACTTTGATGTGCATTTGTCGCTATCAAACGTTGTTGCCTGGTGGCCTAGAGGAACACATGACTCATTCATTGAGCAGAACAGTTCTGTGGGTCTCCAAGCAGGAGCTGCTGAAGACGGCTGGCTTATCGGTGAGTGTCACAGAGTGTGAGATGTTTTAGCTGGACTTTGTTTGGTTATTAAAACATCTCATCTGCAGTGATCAGGGTTATCCACTGGGGAACGCTGGGTGGTAATTCATCCTCCTCCAGTTGCAGTCGTTTCTCTTTTATGGGCTGTGACGCTTTATTTGGCTGAGCTTAATCACTTTTCTGTTTTGTTTTGTTTTTTGTTTTTAATTTTAGTTCTGTGATCTCTCCTCTGACCCAACAGAATCACCTGTGGTGGGTTTCTTGTCCCAGGCATAGACTGTATAAAAGATGGACGTAGCAACCGGCGCTGAAAAATGAAGCCAACCCGGAAGTGTCAAAAACCTGCAGTATCACTACTCATCACGAAATACTACATTCCTCCAGCTCAGGATTTTATTTTTTTTTTATCAGTTTTCATGGTCAAGTCCAGAGATCAGGTGGCCAATCTGAAAATTTTGCGGGGCAAGGGGCGTGGCTGGCTTGATTGACAGTCGGCAGCGACCATACAGATGAAGCGAGCAGAAGGCGGTAAATGTGGGCGGGCAGAGAGGGCCCGCCTCTCAATCCGTCTGACCAATCACTGCTCCTATGGCTCCGCCCCCCTCTCCGATGATTTTTGCGTCACTGGCTCCAAAAATCCAAGATGTCAACCAGGAAGTAGCAAAACCCTGGCTTCATTTTGTCAGTGCAGAAACCAACGGGTGACGTCACGGCAGCTACGTCCATCTTTTGTACAGTCTACGGTCCCATGCAGGATTTTTTTTCTTTCGTTGTTTATCTCAACATTTCACACACCAAACAGTAGTTTCTGGTTGGCTTCAACCTTGCTGACAAGTACCTCAATTTCGGTTTCCAAAAAGTTCCTCTTTGTCACCCTCTTTGCCATGATAATAAAAACACCATTCACTTTTGTAAAGAGGCGTGTTGTTACCATGTATGGATAATTGGAGGCATTTCTGAAGGCAAATGATCCCGAAAGCACACGAGCCTGGTGGTTAAGAACAAGTGGGATTTATCAACACTGATGACTTACTGATGTGCGTACGACCCACGTATGCATGTTTGATAAATATGGATTTCTTTGTACTTGTGCGCACTCTAAATTTCATTCGTAAGACAGAATTTAGAACCTTTTCTACGCAGCGATGATAAATGAGGCCCCTGGCTTTTTGGATTAATGTGCACTGGACGGATGAATCACAGATGGTTGTCTGGCCACAGGAACCGTAGACATGTTTGTGCTTTCAAGAAGAAGAACCTCATTCCAACTGAAGCACGGTGGTGGAATTATTATTGTTTCTTTTGGTCAACTAAGAAGTATGCATTATATCAAAGAGTGTTTGAAGATTATGTGAAGCCACAAAGGTTGAACTGGACCCTAATGATCTTAAGCACACGAGCAAATCCAGCAAACCAAGGAATTGCTCAAAAAGTAGAATAATGAATTCTGGGTTGGCGAAGTACACGGTTGGACTGTAATCTTCAACACCAATGAAAAGCAATGCTAGCTTCTGGGGCAACTTACTTTGTCCACTGAAGAATACTACGTCTATTCTTGTAGAATAAAGGATCAAATGTTTGCTTGTCCAGATGTGATATGATCCATTTTTCACAACTGTATGGTCGTTACGGTTTAGCAGGTTGGCTATGGGTCTGACCCCAGCAGCAGAAATAAAGCCCGTTTAAGCCAGAACAAACACTGGTTTGGAGGTCTTGGGTAAACACAACCTGCTTCACAGTAGATAAAACTCAGCTGATTCAGGCACAGGTATACCTGTCTTCCTGTCCATTCGAAGTGATCACATTATTCCAATATCTTGCCAATTTAAACACCTCTAAAGCAATACTATGCAGCTCTAAAGTGGGCCTGGAAAACCTGTCATTAGTTCTCAAACTGGTGTGGTTACTTGAGTCGGAGTCAGGTTTTTAAAAAAGCTTATTTTTTACCTACGAAACTCCTTGTATGATTGTGGCAATGTTCTGGTAGTGTTAGCACAACAAACCTTCCCACAGCAAACACAGTAAGGGCCACGGTTGAATTTTCTTGGATGTGCTTTTGGTCGAAAAATTGGGGGTCAAACATTCCCTCCCAGATGATCGGCGCGTTCCAAGATGTGCTCGTCTTAACTGCTGCTCTCGCCCTGAAATGGAAGATGAAAACAGATGTTGTCATTTTGAGGGTGAAGGAAGTGAATTCTGTCTTCTGTTCAGCTAACCTCTTTTGCTTTCTAGCAAAAATGAAGGTAACATTCATGTGGCATTAAGATTGCACTCAGTTTTACACAATTTGGGAACTTTTGAGGCATAATTGTGCAGCCAAATTTTTGACATTTTTAGTTATGCAGACAAGTCAGTTATTACCAGAACTATACAGCTGTTTCACATTGAAATACACATTATGAGACGCTCACAGGTTCTGGTTAAAATGTGCACTGTATATGGCATGATGTTAACATGAGAAATTCTACAAATAGAAGCACCATACACTACGTGAAGATTTATTGTTCAGTTAATGTGCCCCCAGAACACCATTACAGACAAAGAGGCTCAACGTTTTAGAGCAGAAAACTACAGAGGTGGCTGATTTAACGTAATTTCTAATCTTCTAATTATGTATCTTAAAATGTATGCTTCCAGAGAAATGGTTGGACATATAAATTAATAGAACAAATCCCAACTGATACCCGTCTCCTGGAATTACTTTCACGAACCCGCATAAAGCAGATGAAACTTGATATACAACATAGCGAGCAAGTCAAAGAATGTTTGTCTTGATCATGCAAAGGTTGTTCTGGGTAAGCAGAAACAATAGTGGTTTGAAAATTGTCCGTATCAATGATGAATAGCCGGTTTGTTTTGCATGCTACTTCCTCCTCCAGAGGTGCTTTGTGTACCTGCATGTGTATTCCATTCATGATTTTCAAAAGCGCAGAACGTTTTTCCTTACACAGTTCCTTCCAGAGTATTACTGGATTATTTTAAGTTATCTGTGAGGTGACAAATGCAATTTACATGCTTCTGTAGCTGTCAAATCCAAATCATTAATGTCCCAATGTACAACTTTAACTAAAAGCTCAAGTTCTTATTAAAACCTATATAAAGGTAGGACTTTTGGTATTTGTGTTTGGTTTTTTCCCCCCTTACTGGTTTTGCCCAAAAGTTGTAAATATGCAGGTCTGTTTTATTTGAAATCAGTGTTTCTTCTTGAAGTTTCTGTAGTTTTAATGGTATTTCCATCAAACAAATAATTCAGCTGGCTAGCTGAAGTCTAAAACCGAAGCTACAGTGCCTGACGCTGACTGAGTCTCACCTTGTTTAACCTTGTCAAACTAGATCCAGTGCCCAACCTTCAGACCAAACATTTATGGCTGAATGGATTTTTAGTCTTTTGTGCAGTTTCTTTTCTTCTTTCTTGGAATATCTTGAAGCTCACTGTTTGACCATGACCTTCCCTTACGCGATTGTTCTATGTGTGACTGAACTTTTTGCTTTGAGTAAACAAGAGAAAAATCCGAGACTTGATGTAAAAAAACGGCGAACAGAAAATACCTGCTGTTGCTAAATGCAACTGGAATGTTTTCACACGGTACTCAAGTGAGTTTGTAACCCTATTTAAGGTTGTATCTGTCTTTACATATGGCTGGCAGTCAGTTTGTCAGTACATGAAAACCAACGAGGCAAAAGCCTTTGTCATTTCCTGTGACCTGCATATTGTTGTTTGCTGGAGGGACTACGAAAGAGTGAACCTGACGCGTGTCACACTCTCACAGGCACCTGAAGAAAAGATTTCTTTGTGTAGCACGTGCCCTTTTTCCCCACGACTGCTTCATATCCGGGAGGGGGATTATGTTTTTGTCAGAGTGATTAATGTGTGACACGTCACTGAGTTGTGAGGCTACGAGTTTTCCTGTTCTGTGTATCCTCCATTTAAACGGGCCTCAGACTAGTCAAGTTAATGTCATGCTAGCCCTATTCAAACAAGAAAGAGAAGGTTTTACTTCTGTCTGAACGTGACAAACTGTTTGCAGGGGGATTTTTGCAAAGATTGACATTTAACATTTGCTTGTTTCCAGAGGACTTCATTCCCAATCATTTCTATGTGATCATGCTGCCTAAATCACTTTCTTTCCCACTGACGACGGTATAGATGTTAGTAGTGGGAGTGTAATGATGGAATGAAGGTGATTGAAAAATACAACTGACTCACTACAATGCATAAGCTGCACTGTGACACCCAGAGGGTTAGTTATGCAGACAAGTCAGTTATATCCATCATCTACACACCGCTTAATCCTCACTAGGGTCATGGGGGGCTGGAGTCTATCCCAGCTGACTCAGGGTGAAGGCAGGTTCACCTGGACAGGTAGCCAGTCTATCACAGGGCTACACTTAGAGACAGACAACCAAGCACACTCACATTCATACCTGCGGACAATTTACAATCACCTCAATTAACCTCAACATGTTTTTGGACCTTGTGGGAGGAAGCCGGAGAACTTGGGGAGAACATACGAACTCCACGCAGAAAGATCCCGGACGCGAACCGGTGACCTTCTAGCTGCGAGGCAACAGTGCTAACCAACTGCGCCACCTTGCAGCCCGCCACTAAACTCTCTAATCAGCAATATTCTCATGATCTTACACTTGCTGCTGCTTGTGTGTGCGAGAAAGACTTGTTTAGGGATTTAAAGCAAATCTAATTACAACCTGTGCAACCATCCCCACACCAGTCACTCTCGGACTACTCATAAACTCGTCACATTTTTTTCCTACACTGTAAGCCATACTCTGCCAGACATTCCAGTTAATCTCGTTATACAATTATAAAAACAGCTTCCTAAATAACACACAGAGATCAGATCTCTCTTTCTACTAAAAGGGATCGGCAGGCATTGCTGGGCAGGATGTAGGCTACCGTAAACTTGTCAAACAAACATTTGCTTTGTCTATCCAGTTTAGCATAGGTGACTCAAGCGTGGCGGCCAACAAAACTCACGGCTACCCAGCCCTCCTCTCTCTGGCAAAACCAGCGCACGACTGACTGTCAGTCCTTTTGACAGCTCAGCCTGTCACCGACTACACCCGCATGTCCCAGGCTCCACATCACCATGACAACCAAATAAAACAAACTATTAACCCAGTGATCAATACTGAAAAACAACATCTCCTACAGTGAGATACATGTAAAAGCTGAAATGTTAATAGTATGGAACGTTTTCCTCTTCATACAAAGGCTAATGTGAAAAAATCTTCAAGTATTATATCAAGTGATGAAAGATCTGGCTAATCTGGACTGTTCTGACAAAAAAAAAAAAACAATATACAGCAGGGCTGATTAACTCCTAAAATGAACCAGACGAGAGTTTAATTGTAGTGAAATTACCCTGAAAATAGAGCAGGGCTCAACAGTTTTAGGGTTGTTTTGGTTACAATACTGCACATGTTTAATGGGTAGTTATAGTGCCTCCAGTTATCAGTAATACTTTTATTTTTGTAGATCTCTTACCCAAAGTCCAGTGTGTCGTCCAAATTAACACAATGTCCTGGTGGCGCTACGGTGGCCAACTCCAGATTCTCTCTGAGGATGACGCCTGATAAATAGCTGATATTGGAAAAAGAAAAAAAAAAAAAAGAGCTGTCATGTTAGTGGAATAAAATTTCTGGGTAGAGATTCTTGCAAATAGCTCTTATGGACTTTTTTTATACACACCTTGAATATAACAAAATGCCACTGAGAGCGAGCAGCAAAAGACAGCAGAAGATTCCGACGTTTCTTGATCTGAAAACGTTCCCGCTGGGATCACGCATAAGCAGACGAACAAAAAACAAGAGAAAACACTTCAGTGTGATTTTAAATAAAGTGCATGATGTTATATTGAGCACGCAGGGGCATAACAAAGCTGTACGAGGGCTGCAGACGAATGTGAATGTTCATAAAACGTCAGAATGTAAAGTTCAGCCGTGTGAGCATTTCTGGTCTTGGTATTTCGACAATTGCATTACTTCTAAATTGAACACTGCTTTGGCTTATGAACAAAGACAATATTGAAACTACGGGCTCCAAAGTAGACAGACGATGCAACAAAAGATAAACAGGTGAGACAACATGATCACTAAAACAAAAATGAGTACATCTCTGATTTCCGATAATCCTAACTGCCTGGACAATGGGTATGAACACCAAAACTTTCTTAGTTTTGGAAGCATTTCGCCAAGTATTTAGGAGCTACAGAACACTCCACAGTGCCACTGATAGGCTGCTCTCCTAAAATGACCCCCACACGGTGCGCTAGTTGCACAATTAAAACTAAAAAACAAAAACAAAAGGACAACTGCGTGGGACGTGGCACGGTGGTCCTGTGTGTTCATCACCATCTCATCACCACCGTCTTGTAATGGAAAAATACTGCATCTGCATGAAGAATGTCAAAGCAAGTTTCGCTAAGTTTCATTAAAGCTGGGTGGAAAGCTTGAGAGTCCCTCTGCAATGAAGACTCTGCTTGACTCTCACACGCTCACCTGTCTGTCTGACACTGTTTCAGTTCCTCCTGAGCTAACTGACGTTCCACACACTCTTTGGGCTGCACACAAGTATGATGTGGGACTAATCTGCACTGCACAGCCAGTGATCGTCAGGGCAAAGTCACAATACCACAATATCCACTCAAACCTGAAGCCATACAGGGCATTAAACCTGTGTTTGA